GCAGATCACAAGGTCAAAAAATCGAGACCATCCTGGCCAACATGGTGAAACCTTGTCTCTACTAAAAAAAGTACAAAAGTTAGCTGAGCATGGTGGCGTGTGCCATAATCCTAGCTACTCAGGAGGCTGTGGCAGGAGAATCACTTGACCAGGGAGTACAAAGCTGCAGTGAGCTGAGATGGCGCCACTGCACTCCAGCCTGGCGACAGAGCGAGACTCCATCTCAAAAAACAAAAAAAAAAAATTATCAAGTCAAATATCTCAGTCAATTCACCAACCAGAAGAAGTAAAAAGAAATGACTTGGGAATTTAAACAACCTAGCTAAACAAAACACACATCTTCCCAGGTTAACCTATAAATTTGATGTAATGCCAGTCAAACCCCTAGAGAACGGCCAATTACAAAATCGGTAACTTGATATAATTTAGCAGCAGTAATGTTTAATATACTATAGGGAAAATTTTTATTCATAAGTAACACTGAAAATATAATTTTGAGACACAACTAAACTAGAAACGCCCAGCATATTTATGAAGAAAACCAAACAGCTTTGCAAGAGTTAGAGAAGGGGTGAATAAATCAAAGGAGAAGCATATGTTTCTAGCTAGAAAAACTCAATATTATAAAGTGATCAGGTATTCCCAAACTAATCTACAGTACATGAAACTCTCATAAAAATCAATAAAAGAAAGCTGACAACCTCAGTAAAAGTGGGAAACTGGCCAAAGGAAATAAAGAAGCTGTTAACACAAGAAGAAAAATACCTAGGCAATAAAGAGACAAAAAATATAAAAAGCGCTCAACCCAACAGCACTGCTGGGGAAGGCTGGGCAAACAGAAGAGTCACCAGTGTGACCAGGATGTGGCCCCCCTGTTGTGTTTGTGGAGGGTCACGTGATGGTAATCTGCATTAAAACCTTAAAAATGCGTATTTTTCACTCACAAAATTCCCTTCCAGAAACTTACCCTAACGAAATAATGAAATGAAGGCCCGAGGCTGTTTATCACAATATTATTTTTAGTAGAAGAAGGAAAGAAGGAAGGGATGGAAGGAAGAAAATGCTGAACAAGCTTTTATTCCCTGGATAGGGATTACATTAGGCATGTGCGGTACTTCTGTGAATTGAATTCATCCTTTAAGCTCATTATTTGGGTGGGCACAGTGGCTCATACCTGTAATCCTAACACTTCAGGAGCCAGAGGCGGGCAGACTGTCTGAGCTCAGGAGTTCGAGACCTGCCTGGGCAACATGGCAAAATTCCATCTCTACTACAAATACAAAAAAATTAGCCAGGTATGGTGGTGCATGCCTGTAATCCCAGTTACAGGCTGAGGCATGAGAATCACTTGAACCCAGGAGGCGGAGGATGCAGTGAGCTGAGATCCCGTCACCGCACTCCAGCCTGGGGAACAGAGCAAGACTCTGTCTCAAAAAAAAAAAAGAAACTCTTTATTTAAAAATCATAGTGGTCATCTTCTGAATGTGGAAATATCTTCATTATTTGAAACTCTTTCTGTAATAATGTGGTATTTTATTTAAATGATACTTAATTAACCTAGAATTAGGTATATAAATTATGGTACATGTTTATAATAGAATATTGTTAATATATGTTCAACAATATAGATTTCTATACATGTACAACTACATAACTCACAGCCTAATCACAGCCTAATCACATGTTAATTACATGTTAATTACATTAAAGGAAAAACAAGTCACAAAATAGCAATGTATAGAATAGAATGTCATATTTTATACTCCTATGGATCTATATTCATTTTTATACATTTGTCTAAAAAGGTCTAGAGAATATAAACAAAACATTATTTTGTGGTAATTGCTGGGGAGTAGGATTGTAATTTTTAATTTTGTCTTTTATCTATATAGATAAATATATATTTTCTCAAGTTGCTAAAATTAATATATATCCTTCAATATAAATTGTTAATTTACAAAGGAAAAAGAAAGCAACAACTCACAATATGAGTTTGGGTGCTAATATAGTAAAGTACAGGAAGTCATGTTTTTCCCTCCCTTTGATTCATGCAATGTAACACAGTAGTACACAGCCAATCCCTCTATATGGTACTTTGTGGAAGCAGCAAAAATAGTGCCAAAGTCTGTTACCTCCTGGCATTCATTTAATTCTTCATTCAATCAGTTATTTCCTGATCACTCACCATGGGCCAGGCACAGTGCTGGGGAAGCTACTTTGAAAACATTTGTCGTTCTGTAAAATCAAACTCAAAATGCATTTGGCAAATTAGGTTTCTGCTTTTCTGTCTTCATAATTAAATGTTTCATCTACTACTGCCTTTCTATCCTGCATATCTTGCATGCGATTTCTAAGTGCATCTCATAGTGTTCCTTCGCTACCCTCACCCACAATCCTTGGGGTTTGACCCATCGTGCCTTAAAGGATGCACCTCAAAATCCAGCTGTGGCAGGAATATCTACAGATCACTCTGAGGTAGAGGAAGCCCTGAGGAGATGATGTGGCTGTTCTTTATCATTCCTGACCATCTGTGAGAGAGTGGCTGCTGCCTCCAAGCTCCATCAGAGGAAAGGAAACCCTAAAGAGCAGACCTGCCTTCCCTCTACAGCCAAACCTTGGCAGCTTTACAACAGCCCCACCTTGTGGTTAATTCCTTCTGCAAGGACTCATCCTCTCCAAGGAAAAGTCCATTATGGAAAATCAATGAAGCAGTGAACTGATGGACGTGTAATACGTGATAAATCCTGCTCATGCATTATTGAGTAACCTGTCTGTTATAGCTTTAAATATTTTAGGTAAGCTAGTAATTAATACTAGATACTTTAAATGAATACGGAAATTGAAATTCGGAGAACTACATCTCATCCTTTTCTTACCAGTTGGCATTGAAACAGTTTCAGTGATGAAATTCCTATTTTATATTTTAAAAAAAAGAAGAAAGTTCCCCCCTACCATCTCTCTCTAGCTCTATATCAATACGTACATATTAGGTCTGGAAAGAAGATTAATGAGTAGATCTGCCACTATATGATTATAGGAACAAATGCTGCTAGTGTAGATTTAGTTAAATACAATTGTTATTTACTCAGTACTTTCTATGTGTCTAGCACCATGCTAGACACCATGAGTTTTATAAAAGCCAAATGGCCTCTGCCCTGGGCAAGCTCCTAGTCAAATGGGAGACACAAATACCTACAGAAGTAATTTTACTGCAAGATCAATTTCATACCTCTAATAACAGAAGAACTAACAATGAAGCGTGGTGGCCCGAGCCTGTAATTCTAGCTACTCAGGAGGCTGAGGCAGGAGAATCACTTGACCCCAGGAGGTGGAGGTCGCAGTGAGCCAAGATCGCACCACTGCACTCCAGCCTGGGTGACAGAGTGAGACTCTGTCTCAAAACAAACAAACAAACTAACTAACTAACTAACAATGCATTTCAGTGGCTACAGGCACAGGCTCTGAAGGCAGACTGCCCACACAGGAATTGTGGTTCTACCCATCCCTAGCTATGAGACCTTGACAAGCTACTACTTAGCCTTCCATATCTCAGGTTCTTCACCTGTAAAATGGGGATAGTAATGGTATGTAACTCATAAGGTTACTGTGAGGATTAAAGATGGCACAAATGGGAGTATTTTTCATACTGGTATAATTATTACTAGCATATGAGGTAAACATGAGCTGATTATGACAAGGATCTAGGAAGGCAGTCCAGAGAAATGGAATCTGTGGTCAAGTTCTAAATAGTGATGAGAATTTTAATGTGCAGTGACAGGAGAGAAGGTTCATTTCAAAAATAGGGGTTAACCTGAGCAAACACCTGCAGGTTGAGAAGACAGTTGTTGACAGCTGAGTAGGTTAAGAGTGTGGCTATAGTCCCAGGCATCCCAGCTGCAGGTATAGAGAGTATAGAAGTGACACTGGGAGACCAGGTGGCCCGGGATCTGACTGGAGGAGGTGCTGAATGCCAAGCTAAAGAGCCTGAACATTATTCTACAGGCAATGACAGCCCAAGAAGCAGGATATCACAATGGTTAAGAACAAGGATTCTGCATTTGAATCTTGGTTCCATCTCTTAAGAGCTGCGTGGCCTTTGGCAAGGTACCCAACCTCTCTGTGCTTCTATTTTTCTCACCTGTAAAATCAGTTGTAGTGAGGATTACATGAGTGTTGATATGCAAAGTGCTTAGAACACTCATGGCACACAGTGACATACGTAAGTGTTTACTATTAAAAGGCAGAACAACAGCCTATGGCACCTCTTCCTATCATCCTGAGACAACCCTTCAGGATATTATCAGTAGTTGGTATGAGTTAAGGATATGATCAAGGATGAGACCACTTTGCTACTACTCAAAAAACACTACCATGAAAACAAATGTTCCCTTTTTGACAAAAGCTCCCATGGTCCATGAAGAAATTTTACCTCAAAGGAACAGACAAAATCAAAGTTGGCCCTAAACTTAGGGACACACACATGATCAAGCAACATGATTCTGACATGACTTTATCAGATCACCGGGGCCTATGCAAAGTGGCAAACTGCACCATTTCTAAGAAGATGGGATCCGGCCAGGCACGGTGGCTCATGCCTGTAATCCCAGCACTTTGGGAGGCTGAGACAGGCGTATCACAAGGTCAGGAGATCAAGACTAGCCTAGCCAACATGGTGAAACCCTGTCTCTACTAAAAATACAAAAATTAGCTGGGTGTGGTGGCGCATGCCTGTAATCCCAGCTACTCGGGAGGCTGAGGCAGGAGAATAGCTTGGACCTGGGAGGTGGAGGTTGCAGTGAGCCGAGATCATGCCACAGCACTCCTGTCTGGCAACAGTGTGAGACTCTGTCTCAAAAAGAAAAAAAAAAAAACGAAGAAGATGGGATCTGTGCTAACTTCTGAATGATGGCAAAGGCTTGAATATGTCGTGGTGGGAGGGAAGGGCATGAGCTGAATGTATAGTCCTGACTGTTCAGACAGCCTCTAAGGCAAGAACTTACTTCCAGATCCATCCTTGACTCTAGGTCCTTCAGGCTTGGCCTCAGAAATAATGTTTGCATTGGCGTTATTCTCCATCTCAATCACAAAATCACTGTCTTCTTCAAACTCAGGGTGGCTAAAGATCCAATCCAGTGCTCTTTCCAGGTTATTATTCTAACAACAAAAAAGAAACACACATTTTTACAATGCATGCAGCCTCAGACCTCACTATGTCCTGACCATTTCAACTAGATGTCAAGCAGATAGGGAAGGAGGTCTAAATTCATTAGTCCTAAGTGCCACTGAGTAAGAAGCTCTGACTCTGCATGACAGGCACGTTCAGTTGGCATGGCATTCTGCAAGCCTCCCAGCTGACATCTGTAATTGGATTTACTGGAAAACAGTTCTAAGCAGCAGATCAGCATTCCAAAGCTTATCTCAATGTTAGCTCAGCCTTTCTGCAGGAAGATGCTGATAATAATAGGTGTGGAATAACCAAGGTTATGGCATTTAAGTGCAGCTCTTTCTAAAGCCACTTTAATTGCACACACTACCTTCTCTACCAACTGTATTTTCTGCAGATAACTTTGAACAATAGAGGGATGCCAGTGTAGTACTATGTTAGAGCCTTCTCTCCTGGAATGTTGGTAAAATGTTTGAATTCCAGTAAAGACAAGATCAATATCTTGATTAATGACAACAACACTGATTAGGTAAGTATACTTGTTTAAATTGAACTCCATGTACTTCAAACTAATGGACCATAAAAATATTTCCATCTTTCTCAGCTTGTGACATCACTGGCAAGTTAAAGAATTTGTATAGATGTAGAACCTCTAATGAAACAGTCAGGCAAATAAAATGAGTGGAGCACAAGACAGTACCCCACGTAAAACAAATTCTGGTTGAGATATTTTAATCATCTTAAAGGGAGACAGAGTGTTCCAGCCACATTCTCATGAAACAGTCAAGAGCCACTGTGACCTCAGCAATGGATCCTAGCAGGTACCCCATCAGGATAGGCAAGAAGTAATCGACAGCAGGTATCTACTCAAAAGTGGATTATGGTGTGACCAGGAAGGATGGGTTTTGTTTTGTTTGTTAAGTACTTTCCCTCGATATTAAACAGATATCAGCACTGCAGAAGGGAATCGTGTACCCTGTAGTTTCAGGGTCCCTTGTTTTTTGTTTTTTGTTTTTTTTTTTGAGATGGAGTCTCGCTCTGTCACCCAGGCTGGAGTGCAGTGGCGCGATCTTGGCTCACCGCAAGCTCCGCTTCCCGCCATTCTCCTGCCTCAGCCTCCGGAGTAGCTGGGACTATGGGCACCCACTATCACGCTCGGTTAATTTTTTGTAGTTTTAGTAGAGACGGGGTTTCACCGTGTTAGCCACAATGGTCTCGATCTCCTGACCTCATGATCCGCCCGCCTCGGCCTCCCAAAGTGCTGGGATTACAGGCGTGAGCCACCGCGCCTGGCCCTTGTTTCTTTATATCAAGAAGTTCATGGCTACCAGAAGAACCTTCTCTTTCTGCAGAGAGAAACAGCAGCAGAGAATTCCAAGGAGCCACTCAGTTTTTTATGAGGACTTTTAAGAGACATTTACCCAAGGTCTTGGTATCAGAAAAGCATTCTATCTCCTAAAGGACTTCTTACTGAACATGGAATTTCATGTGTCCCTCTTTCCTCCAGGGCCACAAGCAGGCTCCAAGTCAAATTTGTGACCCATTAACAAATATTCAAGATGATATCAAGTTTCTTTCAGTTTGCTCATATTACCCCAGATTTGTTATCTCCTTATTCTTAAATTCTCTGTGTGAAAATCATTTATTTTAGCTTTATATTTACAATAAGCAAATAAATCTTTATGAGCTATGGTGAGATTCATATTCGGATGAATCAAACATGAATCAAAATGATCAAAGTACATTGGAAAGTCTCAACTCTTACAGAAATAAATTCACACACACACACACACACACACACAGAGTCTCTCATGCTCACCGTTGCTCGTAGTGCCTGAATAGCCTGATTTCTCTGAAATCCCATGGAGGTGATGATAGCAACGATTTCCTCTGGAGGTTGGTTATCCAATCCAGTAGCACCAAAAACAGAAGCTCCAGCAGAAGCTGCCCCTCCATAACCAGGCATGGTCAGCGGCTCAGCAAAATCTGAGAAAAATAACCACACCCAAGTCTTTTCCTTTTTCTTTCTTTCTTTCTTTTTTTTTTTTTTTTGTGTGTGTGTGTGTGTGTCCTGAAACAACACTAACAAGGAAAAATATGATTCTGCAAAGTTATAATAATCAAGACAGTCTGGGCCAGGCCCGGTGGCGCATGCCTGTAATCCCAACATTTTGGGAGGCCAAGGTGGGTGGATCACCTGAGGTCAGGAGTTCGTGGCCAGCCTGGCCAACATGGCAAAATCTCGTTTCTACTAAAAATACAAAAATCAGCAGGGCATAGTGGTGCACGTCTGTAATCCAGCTACTTGGGAGGCTGAGGCACAAGAATCACTTGAACCCAGGAGGCAGAGGTTGCAGTGAGCTGAGATTGCACCACTGCATTCCAGCCTGGGCAACAAAGCAAGGCTCTGTCTCAAAAAAAAAAAGGACAGTCTGGTACTAGTATCAAGACAGACATACGGATCAATTATATAGAATTGAGATTCCAGAAATGAAACCATATACCTGTGGTTAACTGATTTTCAACAAGACCAGTCAGTGGGGAAAGGACATTATTTTCAGCAAATGATGCTGGGACAACTGGATATCCACATACAAAAGAATAAAGTCAGACCCTCACCTCACATCATACACCAAATTAACTCAAAATGGATCATTGACCTAAATGTAGGAGCTAAAACTATAATAATCTTAGAAGAAAACATAACAGTAAGTCTTTTTGCCATTGGATTAGGCAGTGGTTTTTTATTCACAACACAAAAAGCACAAGTGATAAAAGAAAAAAAAAGATAAATTGGACTTCATCAAAATTAAACATTTTTGTGCTTCAAAGGATACCATCAAGAAAGTGAAAAAACACCAGAATGGGGGGAAAATTACAAATCATATATCTCATATATCTTGTATCTGGAATTTGAAAAGAACTCTTAGAACTCAATAATAAAAGGATAACTTCATTAGAAATGGGCAAAGAATTTGAATAGACATATCTCCAAATAAGATACACAAACAGTCAATAAACATATGAAAAGATGCTCAACATGATTAGTCATTAGGAAAATGCAAACCAAAACCACAAGATACCACTTCATACCCACTGGGATGGGTGTGATAGAAAAGATAATAATAAGGGTTGGTGACAATATGGAGAAACTGGAACTCACATTCACTACTGGTGGAAATGTAAAATGGTTCAACTACTGTGTAAAACCGTTTGGTAATTCCTCAAAAAGTTAAATATGGAGTTACCATATGACACAGCAATTCCACTCAAGAAAAGTAAAAATAAATGTCCATCCACACAAAAACTTGCACAAAAATGTTTATAGCAGCATTGTTCATAAAAGCCAAAAAATGTAAATAACCCAAATGTCCATGAATTGATAAAGATTAATAAAATGTAGTATATCTATATTATAGACTATTATTATTATTATTATTATTATTATTATTTTAGACAGAGTCTCACTGTTGCCCAGGTTGGAGGGCAGTGGCATGATCTTGGCTCACTGCAACCTCCATCTCCTGGGCTCAAGCAATTCTCCTGCCTCAGCCTCCCAAGTAGCTGAGACTCCAGGTGCCCGCCACCATGCCCAGAAAATTTTTACATTTTTAATAGAGATGGGGTTTCACCATGTTGGCCAGGCTGGTCTCGAACTCTTGACCTCAAGTGATCCTCCTGCTTCAGCCTCCCAAAATGCTGGGATTATAGGCATGAGCCACTGTACCCGACCCAGTAGACGATTATTTTACCATAAAAAGGAACGAAGTACTGACACATACTACAACATAGATGAATCTTGAAAGCATTATGCTAAGTGATTGAAAGCATTATGCTAAGTGATAGAAACCAAATACAAACGACCTCATCGTATATGACTCAATTTATATGAAATTTCCAAAACAGGCAAATCCAGAAAACAGATTCGTGGTTGCCAGGGGCTGGGGTGAGTGGGAAAACGGGGAGTCACTGCTAATATATACGAGATTTCTTTTGGAGGGTACAAAATGTTCTAAAATTTGATAGTGGTAATGGTTGCACAACTCTGAATTTATGGAAAACTATTGAAATGTACACTTTAAATAGATGAATATATGCATTATAACTTAATAAAGTAGATAAAAGAAAAAGCTAACTAAACAGCTTCCGTTTCTTCATGGCCATGTTTCCATTTCAAGTTTTCATCATTGCTTAGTTGGAAGTATATCCCATATCTCTCTATTGGTCTTTTTGCCACTGACTTATAAACTTTAAAGGGGTGAATTATATCTTAATAAAGCTGCTTGCTTTTTTTCTTTTTTTTTTTTGAGACAGAATCTTGCTCCGTCACTCAGGCTGGAGTGCAGTTGTGCGATCTTGGCTCACTGCAGCCTCTACCTCCTGCGTTCAAGCGATTCTCCTGCCTCTGCCCCCTGAGTAGCTAGGACTACAGGTACGCACCAACATGCCCAGCTAATGTTTGTATTTTTAGTAGAGACAGGGTGTCACCATGTTGGCCAGGATGGTCTCCATCTCTTGACCTTGTGATCTGCCCACCTCAGTCTCCCAAAGTGCTGGAATTACAGGCGTGAGCCACTGTGCCTGGCCTAAAACTGTTGTTTTTAAAAACAAGAAGAAAGACAAAGACTGGCTTTCTCCTCCACTGCAGCAGATTAGGAACTGTAAAGTCATTTTCTAGGGATACAACCACAGGGGCCTTGGAAGGACCAGGACTCAGCATCACTAAGGGTCACATCAGACTCCAAAGCCATTCCATTTTCTTGTCACCTACCTGGCTCTTCCATGTGAACAATGATCCAGTTGAAGGCCACCTCGGCACCCATGTTTCCAGTGAAGTACACAGCCTTGCGACATGCTTCCAGCGGGAAACCCATCTCGGCCAGCTGCATCACTGATGACTCATCGATGTCTGATGCTACAGAGCACAACAGGATATTCTAGTGTGAAAGAGGAAACTCTATCGCTTCTTGTCTTAGCTGCTCTTCACTCTCTTATCCACGTGCTACCCAAAGAAAGTGCTATTTTGTTGGGAGTAGGTAATAGTTTTACTTTGTTTCATTTTGTTTTAAGCCATCCAAATATTAAAGCTCTTTGGGCTAAGTTTATATCTTTGACCCAAATAGGAACCAAGTTAATCACCTGGACAATCCAAGCAATGAAAAACAGTTCCCTAGTTTCATATGGGGAGATTTAGTGTATTCCCAGAATGATTTCAGAGCATTCTCAAGACCTCTACAGCAGCCTCTCCTATGACTGAAACTTGAAGAGAAAGCACTATCTACAGCCCTAAAAGCCTGTTCCTTAAACCTCACAGAAAGTTAATGCAGGTCTTTAGATACATCTGGCAATCATAGGAAGCAATCAGCTCTGGGAAATGGAGAGTGCAAATGTTAAGTATAGAAGTAAAAATTTCCTTTTTTAATTATACAAGTTTAAAATATTAAGAGACAGCTTTACAAAGTAACTTGGGCTGGCTCAGACACTTTGGGTTTTTTCTTTTGTTAATAACATATAGGTATTGATAGAGATGTGTGTGTAAAGCTGTGTGTATGTAAGGATACATACACATACACACTGTTCTCATACTATACCAAAAGAGGAGAAAAAACTGGAATATAAAATATATCCCTTGGGTTTTCCATGTCCTGAGGACTCTACTAAAACTTCTGTCAATTTTCTGGCAATCAGTAGAAGAACTGAGATGAGAGATAGCTGTTCTACAAAAATTTTGTATTGAAATGCATTTACCAGGCGGGTGCAGTAGCTTACGCCTGTAATCCCAACACTTTGGGAGGTCAAGGCGGGTGGATCATGAGGTCAAGAGATGGAGACTATCCTGGCCAACATGGTGAAACCCCGACTCTACTAAAAATACAAAAATTAGCTGGACGTGGTGGCGTGCACCTGTAGTCCCAGCTATCTGGGAGGCTGAGGCAGGAAAATCGCTTGACCCCGGGAGGCAGAGGTTGCAGTGGGCTGGATCGCACCACTGCACTCCAGCCTGGCGACAGAGTGAGACTCTGTCTCAAAAAACCAAAATGCATTTACCAAAGTGCTCTCTTACAAGGAAGATACATAAAACATCCTATCAAGGTCAAATGTTCAGAAAACAATTATGTTGGACAACAGTGATTCCCAAATGGTGTTCTGCAGGATCGTAGTGTTCTAAGAGATGTAATCGTTGAATTAAAAATGGGGTTTCTGTGGTCAAATAAGTTTTTAAACCTACATAGTCTATCTTCTCCTTAGAAATTCATGATGTGCATTAGTACAGTGAAGACTCAAAAGTTCTGTAGTAAAGAATCCTACAGTAAAGAAACTATGAAACTCTGCAGAACACCTTTCAATGGCAGTTGAGATATAATCTCAAACATAGATGTTTATAATATTAGACTAGAAATATATAATTCCGGCCAGGCATGGTGGCTCACACCTGTAATCCCAGCACTTTGGGAGTCCAAGACAGGCAGATGACAAGGTCAGGAGTTCGAGACCAGCTTAGCCAACATGGTGAAACCCCATCTTTACTAAAAATACAAAAAATTAGCCGGGCGTGGTGGCGTACACCTGTAATCCCAGCTACTCAGGACACTGAGGCAGAAGAATCGCTTGAACCCAGGAGGCAGAGGTTACAGTGAGCCAAGATTGTGCCACTGTACTCCAGCCTGGGTGACAGAGTGAGACTCCGTCTCAAAAAAATAAAAATAAAAATAAGAAATATATAACTCCATTTTTGTGAAAAATAAAGTGAGCCAGGCACAATAAAGAATAGAAGGATATACCCCAAATGTCAACAGTGGTTATAGACAGGTGATAGAACCATGGATGATTCTTCTGACTACTCTATAGTCTCTAAATGACTTTCTACTTTTGTAATGAGAAAATAAAGTTATTCTTTTTAAAAATTTAAGGGCTGGGCACAGTGGCTCATGCCTGTAATCCCAGCACTTTGGGAGGCTGAGGCGGGTGGATCACGAGGTCAGGAGATCAAGACCATCCTGGCTAACACAGTGAAACCCTGTCTCTACTAAAAATACAAAAATTAGCTGGGCATAGTGGCGGGCACCTGTAGTCCCAGCTACTTGGGAGGCTGAGGCAAGACTCTGTCTCAAAAATAAAAAATAAAAAATAAAAAAACATTTAAGAAAGGTAGGATGCAAATGTCAGTTCATGACAGGTAGTTTTATTTTCTCCTGATTGTTGGTAAGACAGCATGCTTAGATCCAGGAGGAAACAAATGGCCAAACCAGCAACACTAAAAAATGGCTGCATGCTCTCACAGTCAGAGGCAGTCTCCTCTGGCACAGTGAGTTCCAAATGCCCATCACTTCCCATGGCGTGAGATCCCACAGGTCAGCTCTCCACAGCATTAGGCGCAACCAGCAAACCTCTCACATGCCAAGATAGTCTAGTGGCCTGAGAAGCACGGTAATTCCTAGCCCTAGTTCTGGTCCCAGGTCTTGGGTCTCCAAAACTTCCTAGATCTAGGAAGTTTGATCCTCTACAAAATGTCACCTGCCTTGCCCTTCCTACCATTTTTTATAAAAAGTAGAGTTGTAGACCTGTCCCAGTGAGATCTGGGACCTTGTTTTATAAAAACTAGAGTTGTAGACTGTTGAAAAAATTTATGGAACAATAAATGCAAAATGATCCATGGTAAGCATTCAAAAACTTTAGCAGCGGCTATTACAATTAGATTATTCGCAGTGGGAATAGTATGTCCCAGGCTATCCACAGTCCTACCAGGTAGCATGTGAAGATCATGGCAGGCTGACTCTTGCTGACTCTAATCACTCCTCTAACAATCAGCAAAACATAATTGTCTCAAGAAAGGAAACATGGAGGTCTAAGCTACATGATCAATCATTTGCAATGTGTAAGATTCAAACTCCTAAATTAATATTAGTTACTGTCTTGAAAGACTTTACAGACCAAAAGATTTAGAGTATCTAGTGTTAAATGCTTTAGCTTTCTCCTAGTTAATATCTAAATACTGTCTATTGTTTTTTTTTTATGTTCTTTCTAGAAAACCAAGAGTATCAACAGGATTAGGAACTAAAAGGCTATAAAATTAACAAACAATCCAGTCAAACTAATATCCTTGAGAGCATTAATTAACACTATCATGTCCTGTCAGCTGTGTGTCTTCATTATGTGTCTTACAGCAGGAGAGGAAAAAGTGACTGACCATGTGCCACCATTGCACAAAGAGGCCTACTCAGTGGCCAGAGAGGGAAGAAAGGGCATGTCTAGCCCCATTCACACAGGAGGAAACTGGGGCAAAGAGAAGGTAAGTAAATTACTTCAGGTCACACAGTCACAAACGGCAGGCCAAGATTGTGACCCAGGGCTGGTTAGCCTCATGCTAATGGTCACTCTCCTGAGCCCCACGGGCCACTTGATCAGTGTGTCACTGACTAGCAGACACAGAGTCGTTCCCACCTGGGAAAAGCTGCACACACACACTTACAGAACAATGCCTCTTTACTGAACTCTCACAGACAAATTCATCAGATTAGTAACAATAGGAGGACATTGGGAAACATTTTTAAAGATACATACGGTCTATCAATTGGTTCATCAGGCGATCTGGAAATTAAGGGAGAGGACAGAAAATGAGACCAAACCATGTTGAAGAGTTTTAGAAAAAGAAAACCCATTGATCCAGAGCATTCCCAATTGCCCTCCCCACCCCTAGGGACCACACATTGTTGTCAGTCCCTCAATCGCACACAGACCACCCCAGCCTCAGTAATGAGAGAAAGTAATAGCTTTCAGGCATTTAGGTTAGTTAAAACATGATGCTTTGATTATTATCCTAACAAACTACTATTTCCCTATTATCTCTCTGTTATTTCTTCTTTAAAAAAATTTTTTTCTGGAGACACGGTCTCACTCTGCCACCCAGGCCAGAGGGTGGTGCAGCAGTCATGGCTCACTGCAGCCTCAACCTCCTGGGCTCAGGTGATCCTCCTGGCTCAGCCTCCTGAGTAGTTGGAACTACAGGCACACATCACCAGTCACCACGCCTGGCTAACTTTTAAATATTTTATTTTTTGTAGAGACAGTGTCTCACTATGCTGACCAGGTTGGTTTCAAATCCTGGGCTCAAGTGATCCTCCCACCTCAGCCTCCCAAATTGCTGGGATTATAGGGATGCACCACTGTGCCCGGCCTCTCTCTGTATTTTTCTTTTCTTTTTTTTTTTGAGACAGGATCTTGCTCTGCTACCAGGTGGGAGTGCAGAGGCACAATCTCAGCTCACTGTAACCACCAACTCCCTGGTTCAAGCGATTCTCCTGCCTCAGCTTCCTGAGTAGCTGGGATTACAGGTACATGTGGCCACTCCCAGTTAATTTTTGTATTTGTAGTAGAGTCGGGGTTTCACCATGTCGGCCAGGATAGTTTCAATCTCCTGATCTCGTGCTCTGCCCACCTTGGCCTCCGAAAGTGCTGGGATTACAGGCATGAGCCACCACGCCTGGCCCTCTCTCTGTATTTCTAAGAGCTCTGTGTAACTACAAACCAAAGATTCTATTATGAACATCAGAGAGAGCCAGAGCAGTACTAATAAACCTTCTTGTATTTATCTGATGCCCATGCTGATCCTTCTTTAACCCCTTTAATAAACCAACTGTACTACATGACCTAGAATGTCCCTTCTCTACTCTTTCTCTATAATTTAGCATCTGACCCAGCATTAGAGAACAACAAAATACAGATGCTATCTGAATCCTATCTTGCTCCTTCTAGACTCATCTTCCTTTATACCTGACCAGCTTCACTGTTCAACTGATGGAAAACCTTTAGTAGATGATCCCAGAGAGCGCTCTGTCATTATGAGTTAATTTACCTGATTAACTCATTAGGAAGATGAACAGTAAACAGGTGAGTGAACAAAGCCAGAATGAAACTGATTTCATCGGGATAACTGAGCTAATAATTAAACCACGATTTTTCTGATACTGTTTTTGAACCCACAAAGGTGAGACAACTATTTTTGGCATATCCTTTTCCACTAAAAAGTTATGAGGCCAGGCATGGTGGCTCACACCTGTAATCCCAACACTTTGGGAGGCTGAGGTGGGCAGATCACGAGGTCAGGAGATCGAGACCATCCTCGTTCACAAGGTGAAACCCCGACTCTACTAATAATACAAAAATAATAATAATAAGGCAGGCATGGTGGTGTGCGCCTGTAGTCCCAGCTACTCGGGAGGCTGCGCCAGGAGAATTGCTTGAACCCAGGAGGCGGAGGTTGCAGTGAGCTGAGATCATGCCACTGCACTCTAGCTTGGGCAAAAGAGCAAGGCTCCGCCTCAAAAAAAAAAAAAGTTATGTATTCTGAACAATGACCAGTGACAGGGTCACAGAGTCAAAGAGAAACTCAAACCTCTTCCTTTCTATGAAGCAGTAACAAAGCTGGGGAGGTAAGATGCCATCATAGTTTTTAAAACCAACTCACGCCGTTCAATTTCCCCTTTAGGTTGTCCAAAGGTACTCCCAAGAATGACAGCTTCCCTAGACTAAGAGCCTACAGAAAAAAACTGTCCATTTCGACCACACATGATGGGTCTGTGCCTCTTACAATGTCTATTTTATGTTTACCATTGCAGCTATGCCCCCTTTCTGTGTGTCGGTGGTGGGTTACATCACAGCAAGGCAACTAGACCCCCAGTGGGTGGTGGTGGTAGCAGCAACACAGTGGTGGAAGAAAGAGACTGTTCCTATAGAACAGGGTGGGAGGGTAGAGCATATTCTCCTGGCAGGAGATGGTACCTTTTGAGTCATCAGGAATGACTATGGGGGGGCTGATGTCTGGAAGTTCCTCCTCTCCTGGCTGTAACCCCCTGGCTCGGAGATGGTTGATATCAAGTAGGTCTGGCATATCAATAGAAACATCTGCAAAATGAGAGAGATTATATCCACTGGGCTCTCCATAATCACTTATTATGTGCTTATTATAATACCAGCACTATAACTCTACATGCACGTGTCTAGACAGAGCTAAGGGATGTTTTTCAATTCCCTAGAATATGTCGCTTGACCAGCAGGTTCATCAAGACTAATCAGATATTAGTGGAGAACCCAGGGAAAATACAGTGGGTAGTAGGATTTCACACCAAACAAGAGCAAATCATTTAAGCCTGAGGTCACAAACTGGCAGCCCATAGACCATGTGTGGCCCAGACACAATCTGTTTGATATTTTAGAAGTGTGAACAACAAATTCCAAATTTTAAATCAGAAGATGTAAGGTAAAATCCAGATTTCCAGCTTATTTTGAAAAGCATAAAGCTGTAGCATATTCTCATATGGTAACAACCATCTGGAGCTGATCTTCAGTTTCTACCCTAGACAATGGTGCAATGCTAGTCTGACACAGACCCCACTGCTCCTTGTTGCTCCCTGAGCATCATGTTTGTGCTAATCTGATTCTTATGGTAGCTTTCTAGTTCATATCTTTATTCAACGTGGGAACACCCAAGCAAGGCCAAGCTAGCTAGCTACAAGCTTCCTATACTCAGCCCAGTTCCTTCATTTAGATTATTACCCTGTCCTTGTTAGGCATTTGAGTTTGCAACCCCATTTGACGATGCAACCCATTCTCGGATCATGATGGGTACTATGGATATTCTAAATACGGTTTTGAATAAATAATGAAGTTTTAAAGAAATTAATTGAATCTCTAGTGTATTATCTTTACAGTACTTTTCTTAACTTCTTGACTCCGTTGTTGTGTTGACTTATTCAAATACAAAATTTGTCTGATTGATACCCTATCAAGATTTAGTATCGCACATATTCAGATGACAATAATGGAAAATGGGTTCAAATGTTGGTACAGGATACATCTTTTGGGCTAGCAAACAACCTGAAAGTACTGCCCCCAGAATCAGTGATGACACCAGGTACATAAATCCTATTTTAAAACAACAACCCAAAGAACAGAGCTTAGTTTACAAAAGCAAATTTAAATTTCAGGAGGCAGCAAAACCAAACATAAAAACTGACCAACAAAATCAGAACAACTGCTCCTTAAGAGAAAAATTCAGGTTCATTAAAGAAAATTTTGAGGTTCCTTAAAATTCAGCAAGTCAGTGAAATGGGATTCAAATGTTGTATTCCTTTACAGAAATTCCAAGGACAAAGAAAATAAGCAAACTATCTCCAAGGCAATTCAAAGCCTTCAGAACAAGGAAGTTTTTTCTCTCAGTTACTTTTCAGGTCCATGGAAGAAAAACTGAGTGGTCAGCATCCTGCCCTCTTGTCTTCCCCTGCTCACAAAACTATTCCGCCAAGAAAAGGGAGGATCTCCTGCAGGATCAGTAACAGCCCAGCACAATTTCCCATGACAAACAAGTGCTGTGTAACTGTTAGTGCTGGAGGTCTCTAGGAAATCACTCCAGCCGATTCTACATCCTTTTTACCTATCCCCTTCGGACAAGTGCTTAGTTAACCAGCATAAGATTTAGTTGGTTTTTTTTTTTCTTAAGTAATTAAAAACATAAAAACTTTAAAAGTCTGGCAAATAGTCCAAGGTACTTGCTTGAGAAACTGTACATTCTTCCACACCACTGAGGACAACCTAGTAACACCCTTGGCATCAGATCATAATGCTGGAGAAAGGCTTTTATGCATTGTCTGAAAAATTAACCTCTAACAATGGTCAGGAACTTATAAAATTAGCATGAAGAAAACCTCATGAAGCCAAAATCACATCCTTTTGTTTTACTGTCTAATGCAACTGGCTTTTTCTACTTTATTATTAATAATATATGTATGATTTAAGTGAATGATTTAAGTGAATGTCATTAGCCACACCTGCCTGCTCAGAGGCAGAGGAGAGATGCTAAGAGGAGACAGCATCTTCAACCACTGGCTGCTCAAAGTGTGGTCTGTGGACCAGCAGCACCAACAGCATCAGCAGCAGCAGCAGCATCACATGGGAGCCTGTTAGAAACACAGAATCACAGGCCCACTCCAGACCTGCCTAATCTGCATCTGCATTTTAACCAAGATCCCAGGTCATTCATATGCACGTTCAAGTTTGGAAAGCACTGTTTATTTGACAATGTGAGGATTCTGTTTACACTCTTAGAATTCGGTCATTCCAGAAACCATAACTGGAGGAGTGGGTAAGCAGGTGGAATTTGTATTGTCAGTTCTTATCTAATCAGAATACTCTGATTCAAAACAGAAAAGTGAGAATGATGGAAGAATGAAATGGAACTGTTTGTGGCAGCCAACTACATGGGCTCTTTCACATGCCATGTTGTTTAAATGGCTCATTTGATGTTTTAAGCAAAAGCATGCAAAAGATACCTACCAAATTTTTTGGGAACCCAGTCAAGACCAAAAGTGAACTTCTTTATCTGCACTACCAAGTATTCAGGGAATGAAGCAAAGCGAGATGTTCTGGGAAACACAAGGGGATATATCAATGAAACAAGGCAGTAAGTATTGTGAATACAGTTCAAAAAGCATATCAACTTTGTCTGAGGCACACCTGGCCATTCCAACGGCTGAACTAAAGAGGAGGAACACACAAACACAGACATATAAGAGGACACACATTCGCTCTCCCCTGCTCATTTGTCCTGTCCTCTTCACAAGAAGAAAATGTTTAGCGTAGGATGTTATCCTTTAAGAATACTTTTGGCCAGGCACGGTGGCTTACACCTATAATCCCAGCATTTTGGGAGACCGAGGTAGGCGGATCACCTGAGGTCAGGAGTTCAAGACCAGCCTGGTCAACATGATGAAACCCTGTCTCTACTAAAAATACAAAAATTAGCCAGGTGTGGTAGGGCCACGCCTGTAATCCTCACTCGGGAGGCTGAGGCAGAAGAATCACTTGAACCCCGGAGGCGAAGGTTGCAGTGAGCCAAGATCGCGCCACTGGGCAACACAGCCTGGGCAACACAGCGAGACTCCATCTCAAAAAAAAAAAAAAAGAATGCTTTTGGACCTGTTTCAAAATTGTTACTTTTACTTTGCTGTGGTGTTTTATATTTCTGAAAAGTGCTTTTCAACCATTTATTTTTTCTGAAATCCTTGCTAGAATTTAATAGACATATTTTTGACTGCTTATAGTATGCATGTATGATGTACATGTATGTGGGGTTTGAAAAGGCTCCCCAGGTGATCCTGAAACACCCCCACCTCCATTTCCACTTCCACACAGAGTCACTGTCTTATAGCACAGAGTTGGCAGACGAAGGGCTTACTGAAACTTTGGTTGAGGTTGACTATTGGAAATGCCAGGGCCTCATTAAAATACTGTGGTACCTAATCCATGGCCACATGGATCCTAGCGGTAGACATATTATGGGATAAGTATCCAAAACATCTGAATCTGGGCCTTGAAGTTTAAAATTAATACACATTACCAGTATCTTGAATCCTCTTCAAACTTTCAGAAAGGCTCAATTTCCTGGGCATGGATTTGGCAATTTTATACACAGACTGTTCAACCTGTACACCAAATTCATACCCTAGTTCAAGCTCATTCACTCCACGTTTATTATCTTGTTTTTAACAACCATTTTTGTTTGTAGTCAATGTAGGTGTGGTAGGTATATGTAAAAAAGAAAATAAGCTGTTGATAGGTATCGCAGATACCTTTTAAAATAAAAAATTCTAGAATATCCTCCCCTATTCCACTTTTCAAATCTAAGTCACTGCCTTCTACTTGTAATGCATCTTCCCAGAATTTAGAAAATTAATGCAAATGTATTGCTGCCCCCTAGTGTCAGAGAAAAGGCACAGCACAGGGACAGAACAAGGGACAAAAAACAGTCAAACGACGTGGATGTGGGTCTTGAAAATGCCACTTCATTCACTCCAAATCTGGGCAAATCACTGACCCTCCCTGATCCATCTACAAAATGGACTTACTAATCATGTCTACCTGCCAGGTCATGCAATGTTCATGAAATGATGTGAAATCGCTTGGCACACTAGAAAGTATTGTATATACCTAAGGAATTAGCATGATTATTTTGTCACGAAAGAGCTAGAAGCTACAAAGCCTTGGATGCTGAATCGAACTGTCACTTATCTGTATTTTACCCCCAGGCAAGTTACTTAAATTTCCTGTATCTCAAATTCTCCATTACAAAGATGGTAGAAGAATAAAGGCAGTAATATAAAGATGCTCAGAAAATAGGAGCTTTATCATCCCAAGCAACTGATCTACTATTAGCCAGGCTCACTCTCCAGAAATTATATATTATCTCTAATTAGGTTTTTCTATCTTCTGAGAAGCAGTAATAAACATTATTCTTATTTAAATGTCACCAAGTCCTCAACTGCACCAAAAAACAACTTCCATCTTGTATTTTATATATATTAATTATATTAATTTTATTATTATAATTATATTATAATTATATAGATTAACTATATATTATATAATTTTTTTTTTTTTTGAGACAGAGTTTTGCTCTTATTGCCCAGGCTGGAGCGCAATGGAATGATCTTGGCTCACTGCAACCTCTGCCTCCTGGATTCAAGCAACTCTCCTGCCTCAGCCTCCTGAGTAGCTGGGATTACAGGCACCTGCCACCATGTCCAGCTAATTTTTGTATTTTTAGTAGAGATAGGGTTTCACCATGTTGGCCAGGCTAGTTTTGAACCCCTAACCTCATGTGATCCACCCACCTCAGCCTCCCAGAGTGCTGGGATTACAGATGTGAGCCACCACACCTGGCCATGATATTTTAATGTAAAAATGTTCTTTGTCTCACCTCCTCTTCCTACCACATTAGCTTAAAATCTGGAAAATACATAACAGTGAAATCAACCAAAAGACATTGGTCAACCAATAATTTCCAAAATATGACTCAGGATCCCTGAGACTCTTGAAGCTGCTCTGTGGTCAGTATGTAGGTGGAGTGTCAGCTGTAATACCATAGTAGGGGTAGGGAAATAACTCAAGTTTGGGGCAGGGACAATTTAACATATCACTGTGTTATGGGTAGCTGCCAACCTAAAAGTACCAGAAAGTAGATTTAGATGGTGTTCACATAATATTTGCCCTATTGGGAAAAACATTCTTTATTCATCTTTGTAACCTCTATAGGGTCTCAAGTTGAATCGCTCACATGTAGTAACTGTTCAGTATGTATCCATTCAAATCAATCTCAAAAGCTATGCTTTGCATTCATTTATTGCAGTTTGGGGACATCAAGTTAGTTAAATCTAGCAAAGTTATAAATTATGTTCAGCTTATTCTTTTATTCCTAACATTAATTCCTGGAATTAAAATATTTCTTGGAAAGCAATATGTTTTTAATAAAGATCATTAGAATGTAAGTCATTCTAATGATCTAGATAGACAGCAAATTTACTTCAAAGAGCTGTTATGGGAATTAAATGCTTTAAGACATATAAAGTGCTTAGAGTAGGTCCCAACAACAATATTGTGTTGTTGTTAACAACCTGTTAACATTATTTAAAATATATTGATTGTTCGCTAAATCACAATTAAGGCAAAAATACAATAAAGATGGTATTGAGAAAGAAATATAAAGTGTACCTCTTCCTGACATTAAGACATTAAGATGTCTACAGTATTGAAAACCTAACAACTAAAAAAAATCCGTAATCTTACCCTGTCTGCTTGTTGAAAATATAATCATCAATCCACCACACTCAAATTACATCATCAAAGACAAAAAAAGGAAGATAAAGATAACAGAAATAACAATTCCATCCCATATTTGCTCTGTGTGAAGCACTTTACATGACTTATCTCACTTAATCCTTACCCCAACCCTGTAAAGAAAGTACCATTATTATCCCCAGTTTACAGATAGGGAAGCCGGAGCTTATGGCGGTGAAGTCACTTGGCCAAGGTCGCATACCAATAAGTTCTAGCCTGGGCATTCAAACACTGGGCATCTACCCAGAGTCTGTGCTCTGCAACCCCACAGTATGCTTTTCTCTTTAGAAATGATCTGATCGTGGGTAAGTAAAAATCTCTCCCTCTCAACTCTTTATCTATCTGAGGGCAGGAGTTAGGTCTTGTTCAACCCATTGCCTAGAATATGCTAAGTGAGTGATAATATTTGCTGGGTGAATAAACGCTCCAAGCACTAATATTCTTCCCAGACACAGTCTGTTCATGATCATTTAAGAGAAGGGTCTTTACGTCTGGCCCACACTGATGCAAGATCCGCCAAGATATTTAGGACATTTTTTTTGCCTCTTCCTGGTCTTCAGGCTCTGGGTGTAACAAAAGAAAAACTCAAGGCCCCAAATTAATAAAATGTAGACTGAATCACAGCTTACACTGCAGGAAATAAAAATAACATCTCTTAGAAATCTACTGAACTGGTTTTCTCAAAACTTATATTTGAAACATGATAAAGCATAATAAAGAAAAGCAAGACTACAAAAATGTAAGGATAAGCAAGCATGACAAGGAATATAGGGGTGCTCGATAACAAGCGTTGAGAGTTTGAACTCAATCAGACTGGAATGAATCCCATGCCTGCCACTTACTGGCCAATTACGTCTTTTATTTCTTCCTTCATAAAATGAGAAAATAATGGTACCTACCTCAGACTACTAAGAGAATGAAATATGATCATTGATGGGAAGTGCTTAACACATGACCTGGCAATAACAAATGTGCAATAAATGACAGTTGCTTTATGATCTTTAACATTGTCTTTTTCTTTCCCACAGGGACTAGTTTTCAATTCATAACAACTGGATATGCCCAGTACTAATTCTTCTCATGTACATAAAAGGCACATGCAAGAGCATGTGTGTATGCAGACAAAAAAGAAAAGGTAAAAGGTCCTTGTAAGAACTATAGGAAGCAGAAACCCCTCCTCGAGGATTCTAGATAGATAGGCTAGCACTGCCTACAACTGAATATTTTGTAGCATCTGAGGAGAAATTCAGGAGAGCATCATTTCTCCATTACAGATGGAATCACTGGGCGGTGACTTTGCCCCAGGACAGAAGCTAAGGTGGGAGGTGGACACAGGAGAAGAATCCAGGTCTCCTGACCACTAGCCCTGGGCTCAGGGAATCTGCCTGTCTGTGGAAAGCTAATACCGCTCAGTCCGCATTTTAAAGATGGGCCATTTCCAGGTGTTCTAAACGCTGCTTCCTGGTAAGACACTTATAGGGAGAGGCAGGCACAGAGAGTGTGTCACACCCTGCACTTCTAAGACACCAGGCACTTTTCTGAAGAGCAGAAGGGTGTGGCCGAGGGCCAGGCAAGTGAACAATATCCCACTCTGCAGCTCACACCTGATGCTGGGGCTTTCGAAGCTTCCAGCCCCATGATCAGCTTCCACCTCCAAAATGGAATCAGAACAAAAGCACAAAGAGAAAAGGATAAATGTTCGAGGAATCAGTCTTACACCTACTGTCAATGATTTTTAAAAATTGCTTCCATCACTAATAGAGGGTGTAGAGGTCTAACTGCCCAAAGATATCTGTGAGTTGTAATAAAGTATCTCTCACACTGAACCTGAGAACTCAACAACTGTTATCTGCAAGGACACAAACAGGCACATGCACATGTGCACACATACACAACATGCACACACACAACCACCCACACCTAAAACTGAGCAGTCCTAGGATGAACACTCACCTAGTGATGGGCAACTGATCCCAAATGAACTACTATTAATCTCCCTTGAATAAGGAGCTTTTTAAAAATAATTTTAACAAATATGGCTTGTTTTTCCTTTTTGAAATAAATTGTTTTTGCTTTCCTGTTTTTAACATATGAAGTCTATAATCTGAAACACAGCAGAAACCTGAGGGAGGGGTTTCACAGAGAACATATAATATAGGCTGAGGCCAGACATGGTGGCTCATGCCTGTAATCCCAGCACTTTGGGGAGGCTGAGGAGGACAGATCACCTGAGGTCAGGAGTTCAAGACAAACAAAGGGGAATGGTCTGAAAGTTTTGTCACTCTCATTGATTTTTTTTTTTTGTTTCTTAATCATTCAGATATTCTTTGGTCTCATTTTTTCTTTTGATGGCTAACGATTTTTTGAGTATTTTTCTTTGACATAACATTTATTTATTTATGGTGGATTAAAGGGATTAGGAACTATTTGGTGGTGGCTGTTTTAGCCATTTGTGTTCTTCAACTTAGCTAGTTTTCTAACCTGTATTTTTATTATTATTTCATATATAAAAATATATAACATAATTTATATATTAAATATTATATAATAACAATATATTACATTAAAATATTATATTTCATATATAATATAACAATATCTAATTATACTAAATATAATATAATTTTATAATATAATATATAAATATAATATATATTATATATATATATAATAATATATTATATATACTATATAAATATACTTATACTATATTTATCATAATAATCATTTTAGATGGAGTTTTCGCTCTGTCACCCCAGGCCTGGATGGCAGTGGCATGATCCTCAGCTTACCTGGGCAACCCCTACCGCCTCCCTGAGTTCAAACCAATCTCCTCAGCCCTCCCCTTCCCCGAGTAGCTAGGAAATCGCAGGCATGTGCCCGACCAGCCCTGGCAATTTTGTTTTTTTTTTTTTTTTTTTGAGATGGAGTTTTGCTCTTTCGTTGCCCCAGCGCTGGAGTGCAGTGAGCGCGATCTTGGCTCACCCGGCAACCTCTGCCCTCCCGGTTCCAAGTGTCTCGCCTGCCTCGCCCCTTCCTCAAGTAGGGCTACGGATTTCAGCAAGGCCTGCGTGCCACCATGCCTGGCTAATTCTTATATTTTTTGTAAGAGATGGTAAATTTCCGCCCATGTTGGTCAGCGCTGGTTTCGGAACCTCTCAACCTTAGGTGATCTCTCCTGGCCTTGGTCCCCATGAGTGCGGATTCAGCAGGCGTGAGCGCAGTGCCGCCCCCCAGCCAATTTTTGTTTTTTAGTGGAGACGGGTTTTTACTATTTTGGCCCGGGGGGCCCTGG